TCTTTTCTTCTTTTTCTTCTTAGTATTATTTTCTTACAGAAAATGATCCTTTACGATGGAAATTCAGATGCAACGATTCGGAATTAACGGAGGATATGCATTTTTGTGCAATGTTCCCATGTAAACCATGTATTTTACTTACATACACGCATACATATATGCATGTAATAATATTATTTCCTTTCTCTCTCTTTATTTCTTTCTTTCTTACTTTTTCTGCGTTTCATCACCATCTCAATTATTTTTGTTATTCTCTTTCATTCATCTTATGTCATCCCTCCCACCCATTCCATTTCTTTTCATTTTCCTTTTATATCGTACTACTAATTAACCAAAATGACACAACGTACCACATTTAAATTCCTGACACCACTAAACGCGAATTAATTAATTATAAATATTTACAACCCATAAAAACGGATGTGGATCTTCAATTAAAAAAAAAAAAAAAAAATCTCAATCGTTAAATTATTTTTACGAGTGTTATTAATATAATAATCCTTTGTTTGTTTGTAAAATCCTATCAACGAGTCTCTCTTTTTCTCTCACTCACACTCACTCATTCATTTGTTTGCCTTAAAGAGAAAAAAAGAAATCAAAAGAATAAAAAAAAAAAGAAAAAGAAAAGGGGTTGGGGAGGAAAGAAAAAAGAAAAAAGAATTAGTACATATGAATAAAATTAAGAACTATCGATTAAATATCGGATAAAAAGAATTTATATCTTGAAAGTAATTTATAAAATAATGCATTTAGTGTAAATATGTAAAAATCCATTGGAAGTATACAACGGGGCTGTGAGCACACGATTTTCTCGACGATCGTAATGAAAGATTTTTCATTTTTTTTTTTCTTTGGATACTTCATTTTGTTATTTACTTATCTAATTACGTATCTAAGGTCACCCTATTAATCCCATCATTTACCCCCATTACCCCCTTTTTTTTTCTTCTAACGTCGAATAACGATCGTCGAGATTTCGCATTGATCTATTATCGCAAAAAATTCATCATTAGTACCGCATAAATTAATAAATATATAAACTTCGTATATATATATTGGCGCGTGTAAATATATGTGTGTGTATGTATGTATGTGTGTATGTGTATGTATGTGTATATATATATTTATATACATCAAATAATAATCAAGATCTAAGAAAAATTTTTCGTATGAGCGTATTTTGGTATTTTGAGGAAAAAGGGGTTTGTTGTTCTCATCATTTTGTTTTTTTTTTTGTGTTCTTTTCAAACATAATATATATATATATATATAACTATACCTTATCCTTTTTTGTATTTTTCATTTTCTATCATTTTTTTCTTTTTCCAATTATCGTTTTCTTTCTCTCTTTCTCGCTCTCTCTCTTTCTCTCTCTTTTTTTTTGTTTTCATACATACTCGAAAACAGGCACGCTATTTCACTCTCATACTATCTCTTTCGTATATCCATGAGATATAACTTATATCATATATTATATATTAAATAATAATAATAATAATAATAATAATAATAATAATAATAATAATAATAATAATTAATAATAATAATAGTAATAGAATAATAATAATAATAAAATAATAATAATTATAATAATGACAATGGTAGTGTTGACAATGAAGGTGATAGCGATGACAATAATAATAATAATAATAATAATAATAATAATAATAATAATAATAATAATAATAATAATAATGATTGATGATTATGCTAATAAAAATAATAATTATATAATATATATAATAGTTATATAATATATATTAAAAAAAAGAGAGTAATAATAATAATAATAATAATAATAATAATAATAATAATAATATTAATATTAATAATAAGGAAAATCGTATCATCAAATATATTAAATTTAAATAATACAATTTCTAACAAATCACCCTTCATTTCAACAAATAGTAAATAAACAAAATGAACGCAGTTGTTTATTGAAACTTGGAATTTTGTATAAAAGTATAATAGTTGATAATAATTTCTTTTTCTTTCTTTCTTTCTTTCTTTCTTTCTTTCTTTCTTTCTTTCTTTCTTTCTTTCTTTCTTTATCTTCTTCTTTTTTTTTCATTCTCCAAGAAAGCAAAAAAACTTTTCCATGCGTGTGATATTTGTGTTCTTTGATAATAATGTTTTCTTCATCGATAATAATTTTTACTCGCTCGTACCAATTTCATCACGTGCATTTAAATCGTAATGCACTTTCACGAGCATTTAATAATAACTAACGTCATTTAAAATAGAAATAGATAATTTCTTAAATCTTTTCTTATCCACTTTTTTTTTTTTTTTTTAACTTAACGTTCGACATTACCTCTTCTTTTTTTTTCCTCATCTCATTCTTTTTTATGATTTTTTTTTTCTTTTTTTGGCATACTACCGTCATACATTTACTACTCACTAAAAATGGATTATACTTTACGATGACTTGCAATAATATTTATTACTAAAAAGGGGAGCAATAAGAGAAAGAGTAAAAGGACGAGGGACGAGGGGAAGGGGAATTCAAATATTAGGAACCAAATAATAGGAAGGGAATGGGGAATTATAATAATATAATGATAATAATTATAATAATATTATAAAGAAAGACAATGAATATGAATAACAAAAAGTTATAAAAGAAAAAAGAAAAGAAAATAGCGCCATTCTAAGGACTCGCACTAATAATACATGTTTCGTATATAAATTATCATCCTTTGTATATGTGCGTGTTATTATGTGTGATTTATGTGTATGTATGTGTGTATGTATATATGATAGATGCGCAAAGGACTATCGTTGAACGATGAGAGTGTGAAAATGGAAAAACAAAGTTTCCCTTTTTTTTCTTTTTTAGCGATTTGTTTCTGTTGTAAAGAAATTAAAACAAAAAAAAAAGTAAGTATATAAAAAATAACAGTAATAAGAAAAAAAGTTTAAAATAGTAAAAATAGGGGGCATCGATGAAACGTAAACTCCGTTTTAATTTTTTTTAAGTTAATCGACTTTGTAGCAAAACTCATTATTCTCTCGAGACTGAAATTAACAAAAAAAATACTACTATACCCAGACCGAATGAATGTGTTTTACAGTAAAAATTTTCTTTTTTTTTCTTCCAATTAAAAAACAAATCTCTCTCTCTCTCTCTCTCTCTTTCTCTAAAATTGGATTACTCGCGCGTCGAATATTTATTGAAAACAAAAATACGATTTTTGTTCGATTCCCACGAACAATTATTTTTTTTTTTGTATGTACTTATTTGTTTATTTTATTTGATCTTATTTTTCGAGATGCCGATCGAGATAAACGAACGAGTAATTAAGAGATTCTTCTTCAATTCTATTTCATTTTTGAATCATTTATAATTGAATACGATGAAATTCGAGCCTAAGTATATCCAGAAATGATCTTTGTTTTCCTATTTTTCCTATTGTTTCTGGACCACTAGATAAATAATGCATTTTACATCGTCGATAACGATAACGATAACGATAATGTTTAAAAGGTGATTTTTTGTTTCTTTTTTTTTTTTTTTTATGCGTGTGCGCGGGCCTGACAGTTTTTGTTCCTTATGATTTTGTTTTATTTTGTTTTATTTTTCCTTCCTCCACACTTTCTCCTATGACTTTTATATACTTTTTTTTTCTTATTATTATTATTATATATTATTACTTTTGTTGTTGTTTTTTGTTTTAATTTCTTTGTTTAATTCCTCACATCGTATATCTTTTCATTTTACTATTCGATATTCACGATACTAAAATTTTCCGAACGATGATGAGGATGCTAAACGCAGAATTTCATTACGGAAGTATCACGTTGTCACACTTTGCTGTATTTTTACGTTATTATAATTCTACTAAAATGTTTTTTTTTTTTTTTTTTTATATAACCGAATAAATAACGCGTTCATCTTATAATATCGCTAAATTTCTGTTGTTATTATTATTATTATTAGTTTTATTTTTTTTTATTTGTTGCTGTTACTATTGTTATTGTTGTTGGTTGTTTTTTTTTTTTTCACTAAAATGTGGTCGAGTGTTTTCTTTTTTAATTTTTCATGTCTATTTGTTCGTTTCTTTTCTTTTCTTTTTTCTTTTCTTGATTCCTACCTTGAAACTGTCCGAAGGTTCATTCCCACCAAGAAATATCAACGTCGTATTTAACGGACGATTTTATTATTATTATTCTTTTTTTTTTTCCACGTCGTATATTTGTACCACCTATGTGAAAAATATTCATTTAAAGCTCGTACACGCGCTTCGCTTCGGGGCTTTTCTATTTCGCAAAAAAATATTATATTCTCTTCTATAAAATTGTCAAATTCTACTAATTCGCTATAAACGTTTTTCACGTCGTTGCCGTCGTCGTCGTCGTCGTCATAGTCAAAACAACGTCGACGATTTTGCATCGATTATGAACGATCATTTTTTTTTTTTTTTTATTCTTTCCTCTACTATCGTTTTATTGATATAGGAAAGATATCAGAAAGATATCGTAGATATTCATATACATATTTATATTTATATGTATATGTCAATTATGCGTGTAATTGTACGTATTATTTAATAATCGGTTGTCATTCATTAATCTTATATTGAATGTTGAAAATGATCGTTCGATCGACGCGAAATCTAAAAACGGATATTATTATATCGTCAGTTGTATTATTTTCATTACGAATGATTCATCGTGATCTCATTATTAATTAACTGTATCATTATAATCATCGTCATCATCATCATCATCATCATCATCATCATCATCATCATCATCATCATCATCATCATCATCATCATTATCATCATGTCATGCTTCTTAGACATAAATTATGCGTAAGATCACATGCGTATAAATTATAAATATTTATAAGTTATAAAAAATGATTGAAGGTTAATAAAAAATAGAAAAAAACCTTGTAGAAATAATTGTAAAATCGTTTGTAAATATAAAAAGTATAAATGTAAAAAAAAAAAAAAATGATCAAAGTTAATAAGATTAAAAGCAATCATGATTTGAGAATATATAAAATAAAATAAAAAGAATAAATGATTTAATAAGGGAATAATAAATAAGGAAGAAAAATTGAGAGATCAAGAAGAATCGTTCGTTACGACGCCATTAAACTTGAAGGGGAGACCTGCGGTCAGTTTCAATGTGGCTTGCAAACTTTGTGCATTCCATTGGTTCCTATTTGAAGAAGTATCTTATAGGAATTCGAGTCATCCAGGATTCTTCGCGAGTTTTTTCGCGCGATAATCGTAAACACGCCGACAGAAGAGTACCATGTCCGATGGTACCGGTATCGGTGGTTGCCGATTTTTTCTCGGATATACTTGGTCCCCTGGTGGAACTATTAAACCGGGACTCTCCAAACCCTCCTCGATTCTTCGCAAATCCTTGCGATAGCTTAAAAAAAGAAAGAAAAGGAAAAATAAAATACACTAAACACTTTGAGCTTTCAATTGAAAATTAATCAAGTTATTTAACTTTGATTTGATATTTTTTATTAATTAATAAAACTTACCGACAATACTCGTTAAACGTTAAAATATAACACTTGTCTTCTATGCAAGCGACACTGTTAGCATCTTTGTGACGAGAAGCAAACACCTCGTCTTCGGTGTCGCATTGCGTACGTCCCTGTTCCGTATGTTCCGGCCTGTAGTACCACAGTAATGAAAACATCATCTCCCCTGAAAAGATAAAACATTCTTTTATATCTGCCAACTCTCGATGAATAAGACTACTATACGACGACGATGACGACGAGGAGGAGGAAGAGAAGAGAGATAGATACTGAGAGGGGGGATAAAATATTCAGAGTAATTTACCGTCGTCTGGATTTTCCCAAAGCGCAGCTATCTTTGCAACGAACGGCAAATCGGCCTTCCTTGGTCCACTCTTGAGTAAAACGCAGTCTCTGGGTTTCAGGACATCACCACTTTCATGCCTCATGCTACTATAACAACGACGTATTGCCGACTCCTCGTTCTATAAAATACACATGATACAAGATGTTTAGGATCCAGTGAAAATTGTTGATATTTTTATATTTTTACTTATCTTATAAGATAATGTATTATTTAATTACCGTTAAATAAACTTTGGCTTCAAAAGCTTCACCCTCCCAACTCCAGCCGTTGCTCCATTTCGGCTTTAAAAATGTTTTTCTAGTCAAGGATAAATGTTCGCTCCCTCCTAAATTGTCCTCAATTTTTGAGGTTACTCCTCCTCTCTTGACGCTAGACTTTTTCGTACTCTTTCGTTTCTTCTTAATCAAAGCTGGTTTTTTCGAATCTTCGCTAGCCTCGCCTCCACCAGCCTTAGCTTTGGTCGTCGCTTCGTTTTTCTTCGAACTATCTTTCGATTTAGTATCTTGACCTTTAGATTTACTCTCCTGTGATTTATTACCCTTGCTTCTACTTTTAGATTTGACATCTTGCGACGTTTTACCTTTAGTAGTAGTCTTTTCAGATTTACCCTTGCTTTGACTGATCTTTGTAACAATCTTTGATAATTTTTCAAATTCCTTAGCTAAGCTCAACTTTTTACCGACCTTTTTCAAAATATTAGTAGCCTTGTTCTTTTTATTATTATCCGACTTATCGTTGGACTTTGATTTGCGATCTTTCTTCTGGGTCATTTGTAAGCTCTGCTGTATAACCTTGTCGATGGTTTCCATAATGGAAGTATCGCTAGCTGAAGATTTGGAATTACTCGTAACGTTGTTACTACTTGCCGTTTGTTTCGTACTCTTTGATTTTTTCATAGCAGATTCAGAACTATTTGGATTCTCGGCTTTACGTTTTTGTCCTTGTTGATGACTCTGACTCTCCTTCTTGGTCTGTTTCTTTTTCGTAAGGCACGCTTCGACGATACCGTCAATCTTATCGAGAAGCGGCGTTGGTTCGATCGGTGCTATTATCACTTTACTCGTATGATCATTATTATTAACGGTTAAATCTTGCGTCGAACCAACCGATAGAGTCCTCTTGCTAACTTTTCGTTTCTTTCTACCATCCGACAAACTGTCCAAGGATAATTTTCTTTTCGTTACTTTCTGACACTTTGGTTGTTTTTCCTCCTCCTCCTCCTCTACTTCTTCTTCCTCTTCTTCTTCTTCGTCTATTTCTTCTTGTTGAACTGATAGTATCTTTTTGATGACCTCTTCCTTATCTTCGACCGTTTCTTGAACGGTCGGTTCATAATCAGGTTTTTTCCAATTTTCGTTGCCTATCACGACGACGTCGTTGAGCTCTTCTTTAACGTCGGGATCAGCGTCAAGCTTATCGTCGATCATTAAAATACCCGAATCTTTGTCAATCTCTAATATAGCCATTCTGCTCTCTTTCATGCACTGCTCGCACTTCATGATATCGCACTTATAGTCAGACTCACATTTAACAACGTTACAATTCGCCGCGCAACCCAAATTATCCCCTATCTCGACGCTGCATGATTCGCACTTAACGTTATTGTTCTCGAGCTTAAATTCGTGAAACTTGCTGCTCGGACAGTTCCCAACCGTGAGCTTTTCGCTAGGCGAGAGTGTTTCCATCTTGACCTCGCAAGTGGACGTGCAACCGTGTTTCTGACAGGCACACTTTCTCAACTTGTCCTCGACGCGATTCTTCTCGTCCTAAGTGACATTGAAAAAGAGAACAAAAATAGTAGATTAAGTTATTTCTCTCTCTCTAAAAGAAAAAAAGATAAATAAGATGATAATAAAACCATATATCAGGAAGGCAAAAAAGACAGAGAAGAAAAGAAAGAGACAAGTATATTTACCTTGTTCCTGCAGTCAGAGTTCTGAGAACGATTATGACCACCGACGATATTATGAGTCGGTGGAACAGCCGGTTGGTTCTGATTGAGGTTGCGTAAAGTGTTGAGTTGGACACGATCCGTATCCCAGGCATTGGCACCATGAGGTGGCGCTAGCCCGGCTAGCCCCCTCGCTGGTGAGGGCGGACCTACCAAAGCACTGGGCGGCAATGACAGACCGGGCCCCGATACCACTGGCGCTCCCTTACCATTACCAATAAGGGGCCCAGTATCCACGTTTTTTGGACATGACTGCATCGGGCACGGACAACCCTGGAAGGCTGCGTCTATGATAAATAAAAATAAAAACAATCGTATTTAATAAAACGCACCTAATGGAGAAATATTAATTTAAGAATTTTTTCATTAAAGAAAAACGACAATACTCACGGTCTACAAAAGGTCTTCCCTGAGAATGAAGATATGCTGGATTAGCCGGAGGTGGTGGTGGTGGGTAACCCCCGTAATACGGAGGCAAGGGATACTCTCCGGGTGGCGGTGGCGGTGGTTGATAGTCGACGACTCCAGGACCACCAGCCGTGCCTCCACCTCCCGGTCCTCCGCCTCCACCAGATTCCTGATACCCATAGTACTGCCTACAAAGAAATCTTTTTACAGAATGCAAGAAAAGTGCACTCGATAGAACGGCTCTATTCGCATTCGGGGGAGTATGAGAAAGGAAGGGATTTGTTCTCAAGTATGTTGGTGTCGTCAGGTTTAGCCTTCTACGAAAATATATTCGAAAATATCATTCTTACCTTCTGTAAGTTGGAGCGTACTTGTAGTACGGTGGAGGATGAGCGTGAGGGTGGGTATACGTAGGTGGATAACAGATATCTTGATATTGAGGTGGCGTGCTATAATAGGAAGGGCAATATGCCCTATAAAAGCCTCCTCCACCTGTAACATACAACAAGAGGAACGGATTCGCTTGAGAGATCGTAAAATAAGATAAACCTAGATAAGAGACGGGCAACGACGATATTCCTTCGGTATTGCTACGACTCTCTCTCTTTCTCTCTCTCTCTCTATGCTTTGATTCTAGTTGCGATAGATAAATCGGATTTGTCAGGAATAAAACGGACCTGGAATATCCACTGTATAGGAATATCTGAATGCACCTGTACTACTTGTGCCACCGGAAGTCGTCGATGTTGCGACCAAATCGTCCGAGCCTTCCGAGTTTTGAGGAGGCGTAGGAGTTGGTTCCGGTGGTGGGCCCTTAACCGGAGGTAATGTTGGCGGGTGCTGTATCAGTGGTCCAGCCGGCTGATAATACCCTGTTGACAAATAAAATAAATGATCAATCCATCAAATTAACTTATCGATCAATGATTAATTCGTTATGAAGCAGACAAAAGAAGAATAATGTAAGTTAAGAATCTAGGATGTGATCTCATTGTTGAAAGAAACTTATAGCTTAAACAAAGTTTCGAGTTAAACGAAACCTGGCTTTCTCCTCATGAGTAGTAGTAGTAGTAGTAGTAGTATAGTAGTAATAGTAGTAGTAATAGTAGTAGTAATAGTAGTAGTAGTAGTAGGACCGTCGTTACGGTGACGTGCATATCGATTATCCGAAAGATCGTCCGCCATTTACTTCGCCCAATCGCGATTCCGCTTATGTAGGTTAAACGCGCGCATATATATGTATATATATATCTTTATGTATGTATATGTATATGCATACACACACAGAGCTTTATAGATGACACGCGTTCGTGGAAAGCCGCGTGTTCTCGCACGCTCTTATGTGCGTGAGAGGAAAAAAAAAGGAGGAGGAGGAGGAGGAGGGGAAAATATATGCATATATATTCCTGCACACGAGGATACATTAAACAAAGGTATATATTAGCAAGCAAACGGGAATATTCGTTTCAAGATTATAAGAGTAATCCAAAATCAATGATCGAATAATAATTGTGGGTATACTTTACTTGCGTGGATATCGTTTAAAATAGGACACCAAGTATGCATCACGCACCGAAGGACGTTCGAGTATGAGAAAAAGAGTAGGGAAAAAGAGTGAAACGGTCGATGGGCGCAGCAAGTAGCAGCATCCAACACAGCATAGAAATCTGTTTCTCTCGATGAACCGTAGTAGCACTCACGAACGCAACGAGAATCAAGTAAATGAAGTTTCCCAAAGAGGCCAAAGTGAATGAAGGGTACCACTACCACGACACGTTGGGACTTTATACGAACATATATACTACTATATATATATCCTTAGTAGGACAGGACCGTAAACGATCGAGGATAAAGGTGGCCGTGTCCTTAAGGACGGTTTTGCTGAAAAATCTTTGCGAGAAACGACGTTTTATCGTCTTCGATGTCTCGTCCCGTTTCATGCCTTGGTAGTACCACGTTTCTTGCCGGTCTTTGCTGCTACCGTTTTCGAACTCGAATTGACCTTCGTGATCCGATTTTTATCTCTCACGACGTTCCTCTTCTCGCTCCGACACCGCTGAAGGAAAAGAGAGAAATCCTTTCGTTTCTCTTCTTTGTTACGTTGGAAAAGAATATGGATACGGTTCGAAGGATTTTCTTCTACCTCCTCCTACTGCTCGTAATTCGTGTCCATGGATCAAATCAAGAGCAATCTGTGGTTTGAAGATTTCTTTCTTTCTTTTTATTTTACATCTTCATTTTCAATTTTTTTTCTACCATTTCATTTTCAAAAGGTGTGGGAATAAGATTTTAATAGTAACAAAATTTCTTTGAACTCAAAGTTACGAACTATAAGATTTACAATCCCCTTTTTCTTTTTGGGTTTTTACGTGAGATAAGAATATAGGAAAACAGAAAAATGTCACAGAAAAGAACAAACAATTTTAGGAAACGGATCAACCGAGAATCCTTCCTATTAGTAAGTTCATTCATTGGAAAGTATATCCCTCCCAGAATATTCGTGGAAAAAAGCCTAAATTCTATTTCCTTCTCATACCTTTCCCCATATACCTTTCCCTGTCGTCGCGACGATCCGATCCAAAGTAGAACGAACGTGCGCGCGAGCGAGCAAGCGCGTGTTCTCGTCGTTGCAAACCTCGCGAAGCAAGAAGATATTTTAAGGTCGACGTATTGGGATGTCTCAGGGACATTCTTATACGTCCTCGTCTATGTTGTCGTCGTCGTCGTCGTCGCGTAAGAGTTTGTGATCTATTAAGGTCGTTCGCTACGAAGGCTCGTAAAAATATTTTCAACCTACAAGGTAGTAGATATATATGTACTTATGTATATGTAGTATGTGCACGAACGAACTAACGAACGAATGATGAAACAGGCAAGGACGATGACGATGACGATGAAGACGACGGACAACGAACGAAATGGTGACAAACAGCTGAGCTATTAAATACGTCTATTAAATATCTCACTCGTTTAACTAAACTCAAACGTAGCGTAAACGTGAGAACGTAATCTTTCGTACGAGGAAAGGTCACGTAAAGCTTTCAGGACTCCTCTTCACCGGTGGAAAGTTCAACGAGGATGGGGTCGTTGTTGGAACGCAATGAACAATGCCAGAAAACAGCCTTCCCATATTATCCTCTACGTATATATACTAAAATTGTATATACGACTTTAAATGTATGTATRTATGTACGTACCATATGTATGTGTGTCACACATTTTGATCTAGGTCTATAGATGGTAGTGTGACGAGTGTATCGGTGGAAACCATGGACACGACAAATGGGTCACTGTCCGACACCGTTTGAGAGAAAGAGAGTGAGAGAGAGAGAGAGAGAGAATGAGAGACACGACCCATCGATCTAATGGCACGGAACATGGAAGATGATGATAAACGCTAGACACCAGTCCGTTTCACGTCTATCTTTTCTTTTCTCTATCTCTCTTTCTTTTTCCTTTCAACAAAAGCTAACAGACAACATATTTGAACCATGATTCCTCCTGGAGATTTTCCCTAAAGCCAATGGAATTTTACAGAACGGTCAAACGAACGTACTTTTGTATAGCTACATATTTTTTTCTCTTTCTTTCTTTTTTTCTTTTTTCTTTTATAACTTATAATAATAAAAGGGGGGAAAAAGAAACAACCGTATGCTAGCAGTTAACAACAGAATAGTTCTCTCCAACGGAGTATTATATCTCCATATTGATGAAAGGCTTCGAGAAAAAGAAGGTGTAACCTTCGATCGTACGAGAAACATAAAAATTTACGTATTGCATTTAATATTGATTATGAATATTAATTGAATAAAGCTTATCTAGTAACACGATAAAAAGAAGTTTCTAAGAAAACTAGCCGTTTCAGTCCCCCCCCCACCGGGCTCACTCACTTGCTCCTTCTTTCATTTTTTTTTGTTCGTTCGTTTTTTTAGCTTATTTCTTTCGTACAGTTCCTTCGTTCGTTCTTTGATTCGTTCATAAGAAAGAGAGAAGACCACCAGTGGGTGCCTACTCTATTCCTATCTGTGGGTCTATGGTTGGTACGCTACGGTACTACAACTACTACTAATACTACTACTACTACTACTACTCGTTTTATCTTTGTATATCGCAGGCAAAAGTCTCGGAACGAACGGCGTGTTCGTAGCCTAGAGAAGTCAAGGACCCGAGCACGAAGGTGCCTTGCCGCAATGTGCCGGTGTCGTTGACTCAGAATAGAATCGAGAGAGTCTGACACTCTCTCTCAATGGCGCGTTTCACGCTTTGCTCTCTCTCTCTCTCTCTCTATCTCTCACTCTCTTTGTTTTCTTGATTCGTTAGAAAATCGTGTGACAACAACTAGGATAATGCCGAGATTGATCACGAATCGTCCAATCCTCCCTCTTCCCCACTCCTAACCAGTTAACTGAGTTCGACGAGTATGTTCGTCATGAAGAATTGGCAGGATTTTGTGTAATAACTAGTATACTCGTCACGCGTAAAATGTAATGACTAGTTTGCTATTTACAAACTATTCTTACTATTCTTTTTTATTAGTGACCAATTTGCTATTTGAATTGTAACTTTTTGTGAAAACTGAAACATATTCTCAAATTTCAAGATGAATAAGAAGAAATTCAAGATTTGTAAATTACTATTCTTTTTTTATTTTTAGTTTATTTTATCCTAAAAATGAACAATTTTAACCTCAATTTGTCATCGACTGATTTCAATGAAACAGCGGTGCGCACTTTCAAAACGGAATGCTACAAACTATAAATTTTCGAACATTTTCCAATTTATCTTTATATATCTATTCGAAACACATTCCGAATAGTAGGCTTTTCAGATAATTCCCGGAGAGAAAAGTAATAAAATAAAAAAAAGCCATTGAAAATCAGGAAAACGAGCATATTACAAAAAAAAGGAATGAGCTTTTCGAGAAAGAATCATCACCGAAAGATTCGACCGAACTGATGGCACTTTCCTCTTCCACTTCCTGCTGAGTTGATTCGACCTTGTTACGGTTGTCCCTTTTTCCCTTCCCCATCAAACCCTCTCCTGATTTTTTTTTTTTATGTATGTAGTTGGACATGCACACGTTGAAGAGAAGAACGGTTGAAATTTTGCTAAAACGACCCTTGCTTCCTGGATTGAACAGTGGGAGATTGAGAGAAAGAGAAAATAAAGAGAGAGAGAGAGAAGGTGGAAGTTTCACGGTACGGGCAGAAATTGAACTCGCTTGGATGTTTGCCCAACGACGAATAAGACCGAACGGTTGTTACCTTTCTCTTGCACTCACTCTCTATCTCTCTCTCTCTTTCTCTCTCTTTCATTCATTCTCTTTCTTCCTTTTTTTCTTTCTCTTTCAAAGTCCACGAAGAATTATTCGTAAACTTTTCGAAGCTTCTTGACATTTTGCAAATCCTTTTAAGGTAATTGCCTCGTGAAACGTAACTATCTCTTTCTCTCTTTCTCTCTTTTAAGAATAAGAAGAAAATGATTAATCGAACGACTATCGTACTCAATAAATAAATCAATCTCCGTGGAAGAGGAGAATTCTATTCCTACAACTACTACTACTACTACTACGATGGAATAATAAATATACTTTCTGGATAAAATAGGTGAGTGTATTTCGACGAGAAGGGGAAGGGAAGAAAAAAAGAACGATAATATGCTCCCTTTTTACCAAGCATATTCTTTTTCAGCCAATCACTTCTCCACCTCCACCCCATGTCTTTCATCCCTTTAAAAAAAGAAGAAGTAGAAGTAAAAAAAAAAAAAGATATTATCGATTCGATAGAAATTAATAAATTATTATCAATCGCAAAGTAGAAGAAGAAGAAGAAGAGAAGACTGAAAGTTAAACTCTCTCTCTCTCTTCGGTTTT